TCACATTTCAAAGTTATATTAGAACTGGCAGACCTCACAGCAATATACAGGTGCTACAATAATTTCTTTTCCCTTAGCTATCTTCAGGGGAAATGTGGATGGCAATGACACCATTGTTCCCATTAAAGATGAGGTTCCAGTGGTTGCATTTGCAGCCACTTTAACTAGAAATCTTGGGAAGGAGTCATGGGTATCATTTTGGGTGGCGATAGAGGCTATACACCTTACTGTAACATATGGCTCTTCAGGTATTGTTAGATTGCAAGTCCCAGCATCCTCTAGCCGGTGTAGATAATGCTGAAAAATGCTAGGAGCTACAGTCCAACAATATCTGGATCAAGGAAACTGTGCTAGTTGAATGTGCATGTATGGACTTCACACACACATATGCTTGATGATCTTTGGAGGTCCCTTCCAACTCTAGGATTCTGTGTATTCCTGCATGGTAGAAGGGGGTTGGACTGGATGGAATTGGGGTCCCTTCCAAAGTCTAGGATTCTATGTATTCCTGCATGGTCAAAAGGGTTGCGCTGGATAGCCCTTGGGGATTCCTTTCCAACTCTAGGGTACTGTGTATGCCTCCATGGCAAAAGAGGGTTGGACTGGATGGCCCTTGGAGGTTCCTTCCAACTCTAGGATTCTATGTAAATATGAACAGTGTTCTCTAGGACTCATCCCTTTTGCCCCTATGGTGCTAAATGGCCAGATATCTGGCTACAGGTGCTGCAGAGATAATAAATTAAGTGTGTGTGCATGTGTGTGTGCACATACAGGGAACCTTTGAATTTCCTAGAGTTTTCTTAAGTGAGCAATCCTCCCTAGTATTATTATTATACTAACCAGGGCAGACTGACTCTGCATAGTTCCCAAGATCCAGATGTTGTTGGACTGCAGCTCCCAGCATTCCTTAGCATTGGTTACCTCAGCTAGGGGCTGCTGGAACTTGCAATCCAACATAGCTAGACTCCATAATTCCCTTGAGTTCAGTGCATTATGGTATGTGCTAGATAGAGCAAGGTAGACAAAGAAAGAGAATTAGAGCTTTGAAACAGTTTCCGTAATCCCCCTTTCAGATATAGGACTTGTTGTCAAACCTGATTCCAGTGTCTCCTTCAGAAACCAGACCAAGCTATCTCCCCTCACTCCCATCCTCCTTTGTGTGACATTTTCTGTTTGAGCTTTGACAAATGGGAATCCAGTCATTGCAAAAACAATATCTCATTGGCAAGACAGCATTGTATGTGATTTCAGTGTGAAAATTAACAGACTCTTGCATTTATAGCAATGATGACATAAAACAATAAAACAATTTGGAACAACAAACTTCAAAAGAAATTTCCCATCTCTATAATTTATTTGCAATTGAGCCATGTGAAAATTCTCACATCTATGCGATCATGTGGCAAATTTCTCAGGCTCCAACATAAATCAATTAAAGGGGCTGAGAAATTAGCAATTTGTGTCTTTAGTGAAACATGACGAATAATTATCACATCACTAGACCTAAACATGGAGGAAGGAGACAGACTCTGAGATAATGGTTGCATATTCACATGATATAAAAATGCAGAAGTCTTGTTGAATATATAGTTTGAATATCTATGCAGCCTTTATTCTTGTTAAACATTTTTTAAATCCACATTCACTCTTATCTGGAGATCTGCATTCACTTAAACAGGCACAAGGATTCTTGTGCATTTGGGGGTCTCATTCATTTTGTAGGAAGCAGATCCATGTGGCAAATACTGGCAAAAATAGTTTTAAACTGAGATCAACTGTATTATCACTGTACCATGGATGTTGGGGTTTAAAAGTTTGCAGACTTTTTATAGAAAGTAAAATTATCATTAGTAGTTACATTTTAAAAACTGAACTCACAACTCTCAAGTTTGCCTTTCCTTGGCTATAATGTAGCAAGTAATGCACTCTGAATTTTAGTTCCATTGACATGCATTTGTATTAGAGAATTTTAAGTAGTCTGACAAACCTCGCTTCTTCCTCTCTGCTTCACCTCGACATAAATCATTACATTTTTATATCCATTATGCAAAAGTCAAAAAAGTGGCTCCATATTTAACAAGTTAGATGAACTGCAATTCAGTTTTATGAAAAGTAATGGAGTGAAAGGCTCTTCAGCCTTGTTAATTGGGTTAAGTCAATTCAGCCTTCCATCCAGCCAAGATATTCATTAGAAAAAATGCCACCCAGTGTTACAGAGCACTGAAGTCAATGAGAATAAGTTTCACAGTGGTCCTGAATAATAACATCAAATCTACATTAAAATCATCATTTAAAATTAGAAGTAAGATGTGTATAAGAGAGCCAATAAGTACAGTTCTCATTGCTTTAGAATTAGTATATTATCTTGAGGGCCATAGACAAATATCAGTGAAAATCATGATGAATTAAGCTGTTTGACTCAGGTTCATGAACTATAAGTGGGAATTAAGTTCATAGATGTGTATTATATAGTGCATGATACAAGAGACAGTGTGGCATAGTGGTTTGAGTGCTGGGCGATGACTTTGGAGACCAGGGTTCAATTCCCAGCTCAGCCATAAAAACCACTGGGAGACTTTGGGCAAGTCACTGTATCTCAGTCTTAAGGGATTTCATTTATTTTTATTTATTTCAAGAATTTATATCTCACCTTTCTCCCACAATGAGATTCAAGGTGTGGAAAGCTATGCAAAACTCCTCTGAACAAATCTTGACAAGAAAACCCCATTATGTAGACCTTAAGGTCACCATAAGTTGGAACGACTTGAAAGCATAAAATAACAACAATTGATGATCAGGTTTGGTTTGTACTGGCTGCAAGAGTTCTTGAAAAATATACTGGCTGTGTCTAAGAAGAGCTGTAGGCCAAAAAGGGTACTAAACCATGCATGCCCCCCCAATTGTACTCAAATTAGGGAGTCCTTCCCTTACTTTTGTAAGCCGCTGGGTGAGATCATCCAGAGACATGGGGCGGGGTATTATCAGTATGCTGATGACACCCAGATCTATTTCTCCAGGTCTCGGTCATCAGCCTCGGCTCCCGATGGCGTCTCTCCTCGCAATGACTATCTTAAGGCAGTAATGGACTGGATGAGGAAAAACAGATTGATGGTGAATTCAGACAAAATGGAGGTGCTCATAGTAGCAGCCCAAAAACCAGGAATAGGGATACAACTTCCAGTCCTGAACGGGGTCACACTCTCTGTGAAGGACTGTGTTCGCAATCTGGGGGTGCTCCCGTTGCTTCAGATGACCAATCAAGTAAATGCAATGGTCAGGAGCACCTGTTATCAACTTCAGCTGATATGCCAGCTGCGCCCTTTCCTGGAAGTAAGGGACCTCAAGACTGTTGTGCATGCACTGTTAACCCCCCGTCTAGATTTCTGCAATGTGCTCTACATGGGGCTACTCTCGTGCTTGGTCTGGAAACTTCAATTAGTACAGAATATGACAGCCAGATTGGTTTCTGGAACATCAAGGCTTTATCTTGGATTTTATCCTGGGCCTCCCTAAAAGTGAAACTTGAGCAGTCCCACCAGGCTAAGGCTACTCCTGAAACTCCTGTGATCCTTCATCTTCATGCTGATGAGATACGAATGCCCCATGATGACTAATCAGATATGCAAAGGTTGGCTGGGGCTTAAGCTCTAGCTTCCCAATATCTTGTTCTATTTCCTATATTGTTAGAAACTGTTAGCATATGGTTGTAGATGCTTTGCTACCTACCTTTGCTAATTTGTGTTTTCCTACTGTTTGAAAAGGAAGAAATCTTTTTTTCTTCACTCAGTTGATCTTACAAGCTTGTCTTAAGGAAGACTTTGCATCCTTTCAGCTGGCTTCCTGCTATTTGGGAATAATGTTCTGACCTCTCCTCTTCCCCATTTTTAGGTTGCAACCAAAATTGTACATTTCAGTAATATGTGGTACAATGAGAATCAAATTTCTGTGGAGACCCATTCTCTTCCATTCCAGCATTCTCTGAAGATGCCAGCCACAGATGCTGGCAAAACATCAGAAAGAAACTCCTTAGAACATGGCCACACAACCTGAAAAACTCACAAAAAACTAATCAAATCTCTCTCTGCAGAGTTGCTGCAGTGTATATGACAAGAACTGAAGGAGTTTTACAGAGGAAGAATGTTGTGCTGTTATGTGTGGATTGGGACAGGGAGCTGTCCAGAGGTATTTTCCCATCAATACATGGGTTCCTGTGTGTGTGAATCTTATGTGGATGGCATTGATACAATTGCCCAGTAATTGACAAGTATTGGTGGTGTTGGCATGGACACTGGCACTACCATATTTATGCCACCAATTTTGAAAGATGAGTCCCGTGTGATATTGGTTGACACTACCATATTCGTGCCACCATTTTTGAAAGGTGTGTCCCTTGTGACCTAGGATTTGGTGTCTGTTGAACTGACAAAGTTATAGGATGAAACAACCCATGTGCCCAGCATAATTAATGTGCTAGGATTGTTCAGTTAGTGTGGATCCAATCTGATTTTTTTTTAAAAAAATAAATAAAATAAAAATTAAGAACAATATAAAAAAATGGCTACAGGAACCAAGGTTTTGTTAAATAAAATACTAAACAGCTGCATATTTTAGGTTTTAATTCACTTTTAACCCTGCCTCCAAGCTTTATAACATCACTTAAGCCATTAAACTCCTATGTGATGCAATTATAATACCTGGTAACATTCTGCTTCTAATGTTTCAGTTCTGTCTTTCTTCTTGCCCTCATACCACTAGCATGAAACTCTTAACTTGCTGAAAAGATTAGGGAAGAAAACACTTTACATTCAATATATTCACCGATGAATAAGTGAAAGGAGAACTTCTTGAGATTTTATTTTTAGCAAACCTTGCTTGGTTTTTCCAGCCAGTATTTCATATGTAATGTTCAGCAAAGAAAGCATTCAGGAGGTATATGCATGGATTAGAACAGTGATGGTGAAACTTTTAGGGGCCGAGTGCCCAAACTAAAAGGCCTTCTGGCACAAGGTGTTACCTAGTGCCAGGGGCAGGACTTCCACCCTTCTGGAGTGTGACTTCTGCCCTCTTCATCCAGGACTTCTTCCCCCTCACCCCCCGGGCCTTCAGCTGTCTCTGGAGAGGCAGCTGAAGGCCTGGAACAGCTGGGAAGGAGGAACAGGCATGCTGGGGAAAATGGCTTAATGTGCTAACTCTGGTAAACATGCCATAGATTTGCCATCATGGGATTAGAACCTTTCAGAGTAATTAGAAAACACCTCAGCCTTTGATAGGTGGCCTGAACTGCATGGCAATAACAAACTATACTGACTAACTGTTGACAGGTAGGTTAGGCAAAAGTTCTGCTTTCACTAGTCAGTACCAGGACTTTTTAAAATGCTACATTTTCTTACTGAAAATTATAATGGCATATGTGCAGAGCAACTATTGAATGGAAATGGTATCCAGTTAGCTGCTATTGCACTGGCACAAAGGACACAAGACTCCTTTTTGGGTTTAAATAGGCCACAACGTTTATTAAATTGTACAGGGTCTAAATTGAAGGATTGAATTATTAATATAGCAACTTTGCCACAGGTGTAAATGAAGGTGTACCCACCCAAGGGTGGTCCTTCACTGCCCGTGGCAAAACAATAATTAAATAACAAATAATAACAGTAAATAAATAAACAAATAAATAAACAAATAATCAAACCCCTCCTCCGTAAATGATGTCATATTTCATCATATGATGTCACAGAATGTTATGACGTCAACCATTAATTGATTATGTCATTTCCTGTGAATTTGCTTAGAGCCAAATTTTAATTCCCAATTTAACTAGCCAAATTAAGTTTATCTGTGGGATGGGGGGTCATTTCCTGCCACAAGAGGGGGCCAGCCCAGCTAGGCATCCCCTCTACCCCCCCACAGATAGCTTCGTAAATCTGATCAGAGAGGGCACCAACATACAACAATAACCTTCCGAGGAGAGGTGTACCCCATTTGCCCTGTACAATTGAGGCTTGTCTAGCTTGATGTCATGTTGAATCAAAAACATGCCCTTTTTTATCAGTTGCTTGGAAACAAAGCAATTTAGCCATAGCCGTGCATTATTGATGGCGGAGTCCTTTTGTGCACCAGACCAGGATCACCTAAGCACCAACTTAGTCCAAATGATTACTGCCAGAGGGAAAATCACTTTCACAATTTGCTTGGCAAGCTGCAAACAAGGTACATGCACCAGGTCATTCTGCTCCAGGTGAACAACCACTGCCTGGGGTTGAGGATGCGACTGTGCCAGTTCCTTAATATAAGGCAGGAGAGATGGCCACATCATGCCCCTCTGCCCAAACCAGACTGTGCAACCAATGTTGGCCAGGCCCAGGGTATTGTCATAACAGTGCTCCAGCAGGAAGCGCTCTGCCCAAACCACCAGGCTATGTC